GCTTGGCATCTGTCAAGCTGAAAGAACTGAAGAAAAAATTCAAGCCTCAAGTTGCAATAGTGAAAGATTTGATGGGCAAAATACTGAATGACACAGGAAGCATCAAAAGAAGATGTAAAGAACACAGAGTCACTGTACCAAAAAGAATTGATGTTCAATTATTTCAGGAGGTAGCATATGATCAAGAACCAATGGTACTGAGGAAGGAGTCCAATGGCACTGAAGACATTGGTGAAAAACAAGTCTCCAGGAATTGACAGAATACCAGTTGAGGTGTTTCAACAAACAGATGGAGCACTGGAAGAACTCACTCGTCTATGCCAAGAAATTTAGAAGACAGCTACCTGGCCAACCAACTGGAAGAGATCCATATTTATACCTACTCCAAAGAAAGGCGATCCAACCAAATGCAGAAATCCTCGAACTATTTCATTAATTTCACATGCAAGTCAAATTTTGCTGAAGATCATTCAAAAGCAGCTGCAGCAGTACATTGGCAGAAAACTGCCAGAAATTGAAGCCAGATTCAGAAGAGGATGTGGAACAAGGGATATCATTGCTGATGTCAAATGGATACTGGCTGAAAGCAGAGAATACCAGAAAGATGTTTACTTCTGTTTTATTGGCTATGCAAAGGCATTTGACTGTGTGGATCATAACAAATTATGGATAACCCTGTGAAGAATGGGAATTCTAGAACACTTAATGGTGCGCATGAGGAACCTGTACATAGATCAAGAGATAGACATTCAAACAGAACAAGGGGATACTGTGTGGTTTAAAGTCAAGAAAGGTGTGCATCAGGGTTGTATGTTTCACCATGCTTATGCAATCTGTACGCTGAGCAAATAATCTGAGAAGCTGGACTACATGAAGAAGAATGTGGCATCAGGGTTGGAGGAAGACTCATTAACAACCTGTGATATGCAAATGACACAAGCTTGCTTGCTGAAAGTGAAGAGGACTTGAAGCACTTACTCATGAAGATCAAAGACTACAGACTTCAATATGGATTATACCACAACATAAAAATAAAAATCCTCACAACTGGACTAATGTGCAACATCATAATAAACATAAAAAAGATTGAAGTTGTCAAGGATTTCATTTTACTTGGATCCACAATCAATACCCATGGAAGCAGCCGTCAAGAAATCAAATGATACATTGCATTGGGCAAATATGCTGCAAAAGACATCTTTAAAGTGTTCAGAAGCAAAGATGTCACTTTAAAGACTAAGGTGCACCTGACCCAAGCCATGGTGTTTTCAATCGCCTTCTATGCACAGGAAAGCTGGACAATGAATAAGGAAGATTGAAGAAGAATTGCTGCCTTTGAATTATGGTGTTAGCAAAGAATATTGAAGATACCATGGGCTGCCAAAAGAATGAACAAATCTGTCTTGGAAGAAGTACAGCCAGAATGCTCCTTTGAAGTGAGGATGGTGAGAATTTGTTTCACATACTTCGGACACGTTATCAGGAGGAATCACTCTCTGGAGAAGGACATCATGCTTGGTAAAGTAGAGGGTCATTGAAAAAGAGGAAGTCACTCAATGAGATGGATTAACTCAGTGGGTGCAACAATGGGCGCAAGCATAGCAATGATCATGAGGATGGTGCAGGACTGGGCAGTGTTTCATTCTGTTGTACGCAGGGTTACTATGAGTTGGAATCGACTGGAGGGCACCTAACAACAACAAGATAAAAAAACAGAAAATGACAAATGTTAGTGAGGATGCAGGGAAATTGAACCCCTTAGCCATTGCTGTGGGAATGCAAAATGGTACAGCCATTATAGAAAACAGTGTGGTGGTTCCTCAAAAAACTAAAAATAGAACTACCATATGACCCAGCAATTCCACTCCTAGGTGTACTCAAAAGACTTGAAAGCAGAAACTCAAACAGAGACTTGTACACCAATGTTTGGTGCAGCACTATGCGCAATAAACAAAAGGTGGAAACAACCTAAATGCCCATCAATAGATGAATGGATAAATAAAATGTAATACATATATACAATGGACTACTACTCAGCCAGTAGGAGAAATGGAGTCTTGATACATGCTACAGTATGGATGGAGGTCGAAGACATAATGCAAACCAGCTTTAAGTGCTGGAGATGCAGCTGTGAAAAACAAACAATAAGTTGATACCAGCAGGGAGCTTGCCTTCTAGCAGGAAGAGACAGAAAATAAATAATCACCCAAGCATTCAGATACCAACGGCAATGAGCACCTTGGAGAAAATTGGATGAGCTATAAAGTGGGTGTACAGGGAAAGTCTTGCTTTTGACAAGTTGGAGCATTTGAATGACACAGCCCTGTGGTTAGCTGGGAATTTGTTGTTCCCTTACACCTCACGCTATCTGCTGGACAATGAAGCCAACCGAGAAGAACGCAGAGCTGGAAGAGAGACGGGGACCAAGTGCTCACAATTTGTTTCAGACCCTGAATCCTGCCAAGTCTGAAAGTAAAACTATCCCTCTATTTTTGAGTAGAAAAAGCCATCACATTTTCTTTTTGATTAAATAAAAATTACACTGAGTCTGTCCCTCGCAACTAAAATTTCTAAAACATACGCTTGTCCTTGTTGTTAGTTGCTATCGATTCTATTCCGATTCATGCCGACCCTTTGTGTGCAGAGTAGAACTGCCCCATAGGATTTTCAAGGCTGTGATCGCCAGGCCTGTCTTCTGACGCACTTCTGGGTGGGTTCGAGCTGCCAATCTTTTGGCTAGTAGTCGAGCTCTTAACAGTGTACACCATCCACGGACTAATCATACATAATTTTTAAAAATAGACCCTATTTTGTTTTCTCATTACCTAAGACTATTTTAGAAAATACAGACAGGCAAAGAGGAAAAATAAATCTCCTAGGACAGCATTTTAATGATTTTGCTGAGTTTTCTATACTAGGACTTACTTTTTTAACCAGTCTCTAATGTTGCGTATTTGTTTATTTTTGTTGGTGGTGGTGACTACCAACGCAATCGTTAGAAACCACTTTGAGTTGAATTCTTTTCTGTCCGTAACTACTTCCTCAGTATATGTTTCTGGAAATGAATTTTCAGAGTCAAATGGTATACACGTTTGCAGCTTTTGAAATGAAAGTGCTAATTTGCCCACAATAGGATTGCAGCAGATTTAACCACCACCAGAAGGAGATGACAGTGCTTATTTCTTTATGCATTCATCCTCACCAAGAAATAGGAAAAAACACTGTTTAATACCACCCTTTTCCTCTCACCAAGTCAGAGATACCATTGTTTATTTTATATATTTTTTATTCCTAGTGAGATTGACCATCTGCACCTTATTTAGAATTTAATATATTTCTTCTTTTGTGAATTGTCAGTTCATTGATTCCAACGCTTTTAAATATGGGAATGTCCATCATTTTCTTACTGATTTTTAATAATGCTTCATATATTAAATATGTTCATGCATCCTCTATGTGATATGTTGCTGATAAGACTTCATATTATGAGCATTATTATCTATTGAACGTGGCACAATGGTAATCTCTTTATGTATCATTTAATTTTCCTACTATAATAACATCAAATATTATGATGCTGGTAGGGTGAATTACAGACATGAAGCTGCTCAAGATCACACAAATAGTAAATAACAGAGCTGGAATCTACAGTCAGGTCTGCCTGAGTCCATACCTATGTTTAATCATGATGCTAAGTTGCCTTTGATTATTATTTCCTCTCTATCCCTGTAGTTCAGGGCTCAGCAAAGTCCATCCTATGGGCCCAGTCTGGCCCACCAACTGATTTTGTATATCAAGTTTTATTGGCACACAGCCACACCGATTCATTTATATATTGTCAATTGCTGCTTCCACGCTACAAGAGCAGAATTGAATAGTTGCAATGGATACCATATGGCCAGTAAAACCCTAAAATATTTACTGTTTGGCCCTTTACAGAAAAGTTTACTGACTCTTGCAGTTGCTTCCCACCCCCTGGAAATTATAGAGATGTTGGATCTCCTGGTTCTGTCCTTCATATCTCTGTATCTTACTTTTCCCTCAAAATTTCTATCTAAAATTAAATAAACTATTGTCATGTTTTTCTTTTAGCCATACACTGTGCAAGAATGTGATTCACTGCCTCTACTGAAATTTGAATTCAAAGACTTACATTTTTTTATTTCCAAAAATATCGTATTCTCAGCCCCTCTTGTTTTAACGACACAGCATTTTCTTGAACATAATTAAGAATAGCATTTAGCTTTTTGAAGAAGTTATTGTGAATAAAATTAGTTTCGTTTGTGTGGTTGTTTTGTTCCGTCTGTCATTTTATCAGCTGTTCATAGTTAGAAATGATGCGGAAGATTCGTCATTTCTAGAGTCCATTGTGGGGCGCTCTCAACGAAGCGTAGGTCTCATATGAAAATTCAGACTGGCTGTCTCTCCAACCTGCCTCCCAGTTCATCCCTGCACACAGTTGAGTTCAGGGTACTGTCCATGTGTCTTGCAAAATGACAGGGTGTGGGCAGTGGGGGAGGCGGAAGAGTCCAGCTGTGCTGAGCATTTTCCTACTCCGCTCCTGCTTGGCCTTACGGTTCCTCTCTGGGTGGACTCCAGCTCTGCCTCTGGATATTGTCAGTAGGAAAATGGATGTGTGCCTGTGCCTGTGTGTCTGTCTGTGTGTGTGTGCACACATGTGATGGAGGTGGGTTGTGTGTTGTCAAGTTGCTTTTGACTCATAGTGACCCCATGTGACAGAGTAGAACTGCCCCGTAGGGTTTCCTAGGCTGTGGTCTTTAAAGAAGCAGATTGCTAGGTTTTTTCTCCTGTGGAGCTGCTGGTGGGTTCAAACCTCCAACTTTTGGTTGGCAGCTGAGCGCTTAACCATTGTGCAACTAGGGCTCCTTGTGGATAGTGATGTCTGTACTCAAAATGCTCCTAGCCTTCACCTTCTCTGATACGGTGAGATTCCTCTGACTCTTTACTGCCATGTCACTTCAGTGTGCTTCTAAGATTCTGTTCTTCCATTTCAACATAATGATATTTATTTTGACAAATAGTCATTGGTGATGGTAGTATGAAGTTGGGATGTTCCTAGACGTAAGGGCAGATAACGCTTATACATTACGCCAGAGCTAATTGTCCCCCAGCCTGCAGTCCCATGGAATTCTCCTTGTACTCCAGCTGTAATGGCTCTAAAAGATGGCTCTCTCTGTATGTGATGCCCCTAAGCCCACACGCCTATCCCCAGTGACTTTTATACATGCCATATGGTCTATATTTCATGTAGGAAGAAGAAATGATCTCTTTGAATTACGATGTTGGCGAAGAATATTGAATATACTTTGGACCGCCAGAAAAATGAACAAATCTGTCTTGTAAGAAGTATAGCCAGAATGCTCCTTAGAAGTGAGGATGGTAAGACTTGTCTTAGGTACTTTGGACATGTTATTAGGAGAGACCAGTCCCTGGAGAAGGACATCATTCTTGGTAAAGTAGAGGGTTGGTGAAAAAGAGGAAGACCCTCAACAAGATGGATTGACACAGTGGCTGCAACAATAGGCTAAAGCATAACAATGATTGGGAGGATGGCACAGGACTGGGCAGTGTTTTGTTCAGTTGTACAGAGGGTAGCAATATGAGACAGAAATGACTCGACGGCACCTAACAACAACAACAATTGAACTTCTTTATCATTCAGACATATTTGTTTGAATTTAGAAGGACATATATTTTGGATAAAATATAGGTTCTAGGATTGTGTTTGTTTAGAAAAATGTGTTTCAAAAACAGTATTAGCACCACCTCACTCTTATCTATTGTTTTATTCTTTGAAAGAGTTTTGAAGTATAACCTCTTGACCAATAATGTTTGTTTGGTAACAAACTACGGAAACTCACTCTGGCTCTTTGAAGCGGAAAGAATTTTTGGATTCTGAGAAAACAAGGAAGCCATCCATGGATACCCGTAGCATTAGAAGCATAAGGCTGTTCTCCCTCAGCAGCCAACTGGATGGGCTACCACCAGGGATGATCTTAGACCATTTTTAGACGTTCTGATCACTACCCATTCCAGGGTGGAACATCTATTTGACTTGGCTTGAGTCATATGTCCACCTTGGCTGTACCAGGAGAAAGAAAGAAAGGATAGGGTGCAAGGACCCTTCAGAACCCTCTTTGGCTGCCCTATGCATGGGCAGGCACCTGCAGACACCAGTCCACTCTCTCCAATGAAGAAAAGGCAAGGTCCGCCCAAGAGGAAATCAGGTTCCATTAGAAAGGAAAATAGATATTTGGCTGCCTGAAAACAAATGTCCATTTTGTCATCTCTTTAGATGTTTCTCCAGTAGCTTTCTGAGTTAGGCAAGACAATTATTACTATCTACATGTTCATCGTATAGTGGATAACAAGCTACTGAAAATTGAAGCAGCAAACAAGAAATCAAATGACACATTGCATGGGGCAAATCTTCTACAAATGACCTCTTTGAAGTGGTAAAAGATGTCACTCTGAGGACTAAGGTGCGCCTGACCCACACCGTGGTATTTTCAGCCACCTCATATGCATTCAAAAGATGAACAGTGAGCAAGGAAGACCAAAGAGGACTTGACGCATTTGAATTATGGTGTGTTGTTGAAGAATATTGACTATACCACGGGCTACCAGAAGAACAAACAAATCTGTCTTGAAAGAGGTACAGCCAGAGTGTTCGTTAGAAGGGAGGTGGCGAGACTTCGTTTCACTTTCTTTGGACGTGTTGTCAGGAGGGACCAATCCCTGGAGAAGGACAGCATGCTCTGTAGAGTAGAGGGTCAGTGAAAAAGAGGAAGACCCTCAACAAGATGGATTGACACAGTGGCTGCAACAGTGGGCTCAAGCATGACGACAATTGTGAGGATGGCGCAGCACTGGACAGTGTTTCATTCTATTGTACACAGGGTCGGTATGAGCTGGAACTGACTCGATGACACCTGACAACAACATATGTTGCAGGAGGTTCCTTGAGGTTATGCAGTCCATCCAAGTTCATGGGCAAGTAAGTAAAAGAGGATGGACAAGAGTCCATATTTCTTGTCTTTTTATCCAGTAGTTTTCCCACTACATCCTTCTGAAGAAATACTAATTTATTATGTGGTTTCTCTCAACTACAAATCACCTTACTTCTCCTTTTTCCCCTAAATCATTTTAGTGGATAACAAGCTACAGAGAAAGTCCGTGTATCACTGTCAAGTCGCCTTTTGGACCATATCACCCTGCCATGTTTCTGTCCAAATGAATCTGCAACATTGACGGGAGGGGGGAAAAAAATAAACTACAAGTCCTCATTGTTCATTCTGGGAAGTTCTCAGCCAGAGGAAGCCTGAGGAGGCGGCATAACAGGGTGGACGGGATACAGTGAGGATGCGGATGCCTCTCTGTGGTCCTGGGCACTTCTGCACTGGCTTCAAAGGGCAATATTGCTTTGTCTCTGTCCTGGCTTTCATTGCACTTCTGAAATTCATGGCCAAGGCAAAACCTGAACACAACTTTATATTGTACGTGTGGACAGTGCCTGTGACACACTGACC